TAAATATATATATGTATATATACATATATATATTTATGCATATATGTGTTTACAGATACACACACATATGCATATTTGTGCATGTGTGTGAGTGTGTGTATGCCTGTATGTATATTAATGTGTATGTGTCACTCTAATCTATGATGAAGAGAATCGCCCGGAATTTGCAACAAAGACCATATCCAGTGTGCTTTTCCCGGAAAAATCTTTACAACGGTCTAATCAAATACCCCTGAGCAATAAAATGTGTTTCTTGGCAGATTGATTTTCTAGGAAATGTGTCTGTATACCCAGGTTCGTGTGTATACCCGTGTATAATGTATGTATCCTCTATGCATGTTTCCATATGTTTGTATTCTACTACTGCTAGTAATCATTTTTGTATGTCCAATCGTGTTTTGATATATGTTTGTTTAGATTTGCTCATACTAGGCATACTGCAATATTTATTCATAGCTCCTGGATATAAACTTTGGTAAACATGAAGGTAAGCAGAATGCAAAACATGAGAACAAACTTTTATGAAAAAATGTGAAAAAGCAGGAAAGAAAAAGACTAAACGTGCAGAAAGTGAGCCGGTAAGATTAAGATAGATAGACATGATTGATTGATAGATGGTTAGGCAGATAGATAGGTAGATGGATAGATAGATAGACAGATAGTGAGAGAAAGAGAGGAAGGAGAGAGGGGGCCGACATACAGACAGAGAATCCAACACAGAAAAAGAGCAAGAGAGAGAGGAGGGGGGAAATAAAGAGACAGAAAACAGAAAACCAAAGAACGTGCAAAACAAAGTAACACAGATAAAGAGAAGAAAGAACTCAAGAAAGAGGAAGAAAATCCATAAGGGAGTCGAGCCGTCCTCCCTCCGAGCTGCAATGATCACTCGCATCCTTTACGACAGCCAAGGACGAGCCAGCATCCAACGAGCGAAGATGCTGATCCCAAAGTGATGCTGCAGACCCCCGAGGATGCTCAACTTCTTTACCTCGGGAGATAAACGAGGCTGTATTTCCTACTTGCCTCCGGCGGTATCGAGTGCTGGCGAGGAGCGATGGAGATGCATACGGTAGTTTGCTGAAAGGGAAAAGGAACAAGCGATAAGAGAAAATAAAAGAGGGGGGATAGGGAAAGAAGAGAAGACGATAGGGGCAAATGAAAGAGAGGAGATAGGTGGTAAGGACAGAGGAAAAAAACAAGAGAGACAAAGAAAAGAGAGGGAATAGGTGATGATAAAAGAGAAAAGGGCGATCAGCAAAAATGAAAGAGGGGAGATAACTGATAAGGAAAAAGGAATAGATGATACGTAGATATAAAAGAGAGGGGATAAATGATAAGGCCGAGAATGGTGATAAGAAAAGAGGAGTTGGCGATAGAGAAGAATAGAAAGGAGTGGATTAGGGATAAAAAAAAAGAGGAAAAGGTGATATAGAAATGGAGAGTGAGGAGATAGACGATAAGAAAAGAGGAATTGACGATAACGAAGAATAGTAAAAACCGGATGGGCTATAGGGAAAGAAGATGAGGCAATGGAGGAAAATAGGAGAAGGGAGATAGACGACAAGGGAAGAGGAGGAAAAGTACGACAGGTAAAGGGGGAGAAAAGGGTAAAATAAGTAAATGGTAAGATAGGATAGAGAAAAGAGAAAAAGCTGATAAGAAAAGAGGAGAGACGGTGCGATATGTGGATAAAAAGTTGGACAAGCGATAAGGGCAGAAAAGTAAAGGAATATGTGATGGAGTGAAAGGAGTAACTAAGAATAAAGAATATGAAAAGAGGAGGGAAAATAGTAAAAGACAACAAAGAGAGAGGGAAGAGGGAGAGACGGTGAAGGAGAAAAGGGAAGAAGGAAAGGTGACAAAGGAAAACGAAGATAAGGAGATATAGGAAAGGAAATGTAAAGAACGAAGGAATGCTAAGTAAGAATAAAAGAAAATGAAAGAAAGCAAAGAGAACAAAAAAGGAAGACACAAAAATGAAGAAAAGTCAATTGAAAACAGGCATACAAGTAACCAAATAAATAAAAACAAAGAAACGGCATAAGAAAACGACAAATTTCTTAAACATCTAAACAAAAACAATCATTTGCGTAGAGAAGGGGCATAAAAAAAATGAAGAAAATGAAAAGGAAAGGAGGAAAAAGAGAGAGAAGTAAACTTCTCAATAATTCATCTGATTCCGCGAGTATACCTGTCCTGTCCCACCCAAGTGTTCCGTGTACCTGGCTCTCTCCCTCCTCCTCTACCTGTCTATCTGTCTGTGGGTCTGTCTGCATTGCTGTCAAAGTATCCGTCGATCTTTATTTCGTTTACTTGCTTTTTAAATGTTTTTTTTTTTGTGTGTATCTCTATGGATATCTGTATATCTTTCCACATTTCATTAGTTATCTGATAGATATGTAGATAGATTGATAAATAGATAGATAGATGATAATATGCATATGCATAAATACACTAATACATATATACATACACACACGCACACGCACACACACGCACACACACACACACATACATACATATATTCATATATTTATGTGTGTGTGTGTGTGTGTGGTTGGGTGGGTGT